GGAGCATTCTGTCGTGCACAGGGTATCCGTCAGACCTTCACGCTTCCGGCCTCTCCACAGCAAAATGGGATTGATGAGCGCCGCATTGGCATGGTCATGGACGTCGCTCGTACGTCCATGATCCATGCGGCTGCCCCCCATTTTCTGTGGCCGTTTGCGGTTCGGTACGCAGCGCATCAGCTCAACCTTCAGCCCCGGGTCTCCTTTCCTGAGACCTCCCCAACCTTGCGGTGGACGGGGAAGGTTGGCGATGCGTCTGCGTTTCGGGTCTGGGGATCTCGGGCGTTTGTCCGTGACTTGTCTGCGGACAAGCTGTCCCCCCGTGCTATTCCCTGCGTCTTCCTTGGCTTCCCCCCTGACGCGCCTCGGTGGCAGTTTTACCACCCCACCTCGCGCCGCGTTCTGTCCTCCCACGACGTCACCTTTGACGAGTCGGTGCCTTACTATCGTCTCTTCCCCTACCGCACTGCGCCCCTCCCGCCGCCGCCGCTCTTCCTTGCGTCGGGTCCTCCCCCGGTAGACCCCCTCCCCCCTCAAGGTCCTGCCCCGTCAGGTGTGTCCCAGGTAGACGCAGTCGAGCCTGTCGAGGTAGCTGTTGACTCTGGTGCTGCTAGAGGTGCTGAGCCTGCGGGTGCCGGGTCTGGAGGTGCTGAGTGTGGGGGTGCTGAGACTGGGGGTGCTGAGCCTGGGGGTGCTGGGTCTAGGGGTGCTGAGCCTGGGGGTGCGGAGCCTGGGGGTGTGGAGCTTGGGGGCGCTCGGTCTGCTCGTATGGCCGCCGGCGGTGCTTCGTCGAGGCGGGAGCCACTCTCTCCACAGGAGCTGCGCGAGTGGTTTGCTCGCCGCTGGAGACGTGCTGCCGGAGCTGGAGGTACTACTATTGCTGCTGGTCCCGGAGGTGCTCTACTGGCGGTCCTGGAGCTGCTGGGACTGGGGGTGCTGCTAGGGCTACTGGAGTTGGTCCTGCTGGAGCTGCTGGCGGTGCTGGTGCTGGTGCTGGTGGAGCTGGGGCTGCTGGGGGTGTTGGCGCTGGTGTTTCTACTAGCGCTGGTGCGTCTGGAGGTGCTGCTGAGATTGCTGGAGCTGACGGTCCTACTGGAGTTGGTGCTGCTGGAGCTGGAGCTGCTGGGGGTGTTGGCGCTGGCGGTGCTGCTGGCGCTAGTGCTTCTGAGGGTGCTGGAGTTGGCGCTGTTGGAGCTGGAGGTGCTACTGGCGCTGGTGCTGCCGCTGGGGGTACTGGTGCTGTCCTTGCTGGTTCTGGAGGCGCTGCGCGGCCGAGGCCGTACTTCGTTCCGCTCCTGGAGCAGGTTCTTGGTCCCTTGCCCTCTACTGGTCCTGCTCCTCCTTTAGAGTGTCCACAGCCTATCCAATCGCAGTCACAGTTACAGCCCGCCTCCACTCTACCTGCTCCTTCTCCCTACACTGGTCCTACTGGAGGTCTTGCTGAGTGTCGTGAGCCTGCGTCTCGTCCTGCGTCGCCTGTTCGTGCTGCTCGCACTAGTGGTCGTACTGCGCGTCCGCGTCCTTCTGCGGTCCCCGGCACACACCTGATGGCGCTGCGTCCTTCCACTGCTCCTCTGCGTGTCCCGTTGCCTTCTCCTCCAGAGTCCTCTCTTCCTACTCTTGCTGACCCGGAGTCTGACTCTCTTCGTGCTACCAGTCCTACTGTCACGCGTCTCCTGGCTACTGTTCTCACTAACCCTTCCTTTGAGTCCACTGCTGCGTCTGCCCTAGTTGCTGAGCTTGTCGACTTCGCTGCACGCTGTCGTTTAGACTACGCTGCCAGTCTCGTTGTTGAGTCTGACTCCGTCTGTCCTCCGTCCGTCGGGGGTGAGTGTGCTCTTAGCACGGACGTCCTTGAAGACAGGCAGGAGGAGTTCCAGTGCTTTGCTGCTGCTTTGCCCCATCTCGTGTCTACGTTGATTGCCCCTGAGGGAGACCCGGATGCACCAGACATCCCGACTTCTCGATCGTACGCTCAGGCGATCGAGGGTCCCTACTCCTCTTATTGGTAGTCGGCCATGGACGCAGAGATGGCTTCTTGGAAGTCCACAGGCACCTACGTTGACGAGGTTCTCCCACCTTGGGCGAACATCGTCAGTGACATGTGGATCTTCAGGGTGAAGCGGCCGCCGGGTTCTCCGCCTGTGTTCAAGGCGCGTTATGTGGCTCGAGGCTTCAGTCAGCGGCAGGGAGTTGACTACTTTCAGACCTTCTCTCCCACCCTGAAGATGACCACTCTTCGGGTGCTGCTGCACATAGCCACTCAGCGCGACTACGAGCTTCACTCTCTTGACTTCAGCACGGCTTTCCTGCAGGGCAGCTTGCACGAGGAGATCTGGCTGCGCCGCCCACCTGGCTTCACTGGGTCGTTTCCTCCTGGTACCCAGTGGAGCCTCCGGCGGCCAGTCTACGGTCTCCGCCAGGCGCCCCGTGAGTGGCACGACACACTGAGGACTACACTTGCGGCTCTTGGGTTTGGTCCTTCTACTGCTGACCCGTCGCTGGTTCTACGCACCGACACCTCTTTGCCGCCGTTCTACATCCTCGTGTACGTCGACGACTTGGTCTTTGTTACTGCTGACACTGCTGGACTCGCCCACGTGAAGTCCGAGCTGCAGAAGAGACACACGTGCACAGACCTGGGTGAACTGCGCAGCTACCTTGGCTTGCAGATCACCCGGGACAGAGCATGGCACACCATTACTCTGACTCAGTCACACATGGTGCAGCAGGTCCTTCAGCGCTTCGACTCAACGTACTCCTCGCCTCAGGCCACTCCTCTATCTACTCGCCACTCGCTCTCAGCTCCGCCTTCGGATGAGTCCTTAGAGCCGAGTGGCCCGTACCCAGAGCTTGTTGGCTGCCTCATGTACCTGATGACCTGCACACGACCTGACGTTGCATACCCTCTTAGCATCTAGGCACGCTATGTTGCTCCTGGGAGACACCGACCAGAGCACATGGCTGCAGCGAAGAGGGTGTTGCGCTACTTGTGCAGTACGTCGGGCATGGGGCTAGTGCTTGGAGGGTGACGTCGAGTGGTCCTCACAGGTCACGCAGACGCTTCTTTGGCTGACGACCAGGCTACGCAGCGGTCGTCACAGGGTTACACCTTCAGCCTTGGTTCCGGCTCTATTTCGTGGCGGTCTACCCGCTCGTCTTCTGTTCTCGGCTCCAGCTGTGAGGCCGAGATCTACGCGGGGGCCATGGCTGCACAGGAGTTACGCTGGCTCACCTACCTGTTGACTGACCTAGGAGAGGCGCCTCGTTCTCCTCCATTTCTGTACGTAGACAACAAGGCCATGCTGACCTTGTGTCGGGAGCACAGAACGAAGCACATTGCTCTTCGCTACTTCCTTGCTTGTGAGCTGCACCAGCGTGGTCAGCTGCGCCTTGCTTACGTGGCCTCTGAGGCCAATACTGCTGATATCTTTACCAAGGCACTTCCGCCTGGTGATCATCAGCGTTTCTGTACGATGCTAGGTCTTGTGCCTACTTGGCCTCACTTGCTCACTTCTTGACCTTGCTTGTACTGTGATCTTTCTATATCTGCACTTGCTTGTTTACCTTTATATATGATCTTGCATGTGAACTGGCCTTTTGGCCTTGCTCTTGTGCTCGGATTGTGTGGTGACGTTGTGATCCACCCTGAGCTTGCTTTGCTTTGCTTGACTGGTCTCGTGACCTCTTGTTCTCCCCCACTTTGCCAATGGGGGTGTGTCAAACTCATATGCTATAGTCTGTGTAGGCTGTAGTGGGGTAGACAATATAGGGTACAACACTTGTAGGGGGAAGAGCAGCAGCTGTTTTCTGCCTATGCCCGGTACTTTTCGGAGAATATCGACAAAAGCCTCGGCGAGTCTGGACAAGACTGCTGGGGGCGCCGACAGCTGGAGCAGTGACAGCGAGGATTTTGCAACAGCAACAAGACAAAAAGACAGCAGTCTGGCTTGAAGCTGCTGACAACTGGAGATACTGCAGCAGCAGGGTGATTCGATGCTACCACGCGGAGATTTTGGAGTGTCAGTCCTTTTTAGAAGGGGGGGAGAGAATGCTCCCGCACTGTACTTGTCAGTTTTTCTGAGAGTTCTGTCTGACACATCGAGCACGGCGGATGCTAGCGATTAAACTATCGACATCGACGGGTACCGGTTCACCGGCCTTTGACAACGAGTCAGAATTCCCGCCACTAGCGAATTCATCTTGACCCTCCGACACAGATCCGCCACATCGACGGTTTTCATTCATCGAAGAATTTCAACTCGACATTCACTTTCAACCGCCCGATCGACATTGGCAGTATCAACGACTGACATTCCAACTCTTTGAATTTCGCCAGGTCAACGCGCTCAGCCTCGCGTCAACTCAGCGGTCAACGCATTCTGCACCGTTAGATCAGTTTCGACCGAGATCTTGAGTTTTCACGCTACTGCAAGACTCGATTACAGATAAGGGGACCTTATCTAGAAGGTGGGAGAGTCCAATTCCTTACTGTAGCCTTGCCTTAACGGATACAGCCTGAGCACATCGCGTCAGGTGGCTCGGCCTACACTTCCGCACCGATCCAATGCCGAGTCGCCCCGCACCAACCGCGACACATCCAACCCATCCACGTCCCGAGGTCCTCGCCTAGCACGATTTCGACCCTATAAATGCGTGCTCCTTTATCATTCTTGATCATTCTGTAATTCATTCTCTTTGTAGAAGTCTTCCGCGCACTGTGTCTAGTAAAACTCATAACACTCCAATTCTTTTGTTATGTGCTATTGACAAGAAGGCGATTGAGCGAAAGAGGAGCGAGGTGAGAGCGATATTCGTTAACAGGTATCGAAATAAAGTGGATGAAGAGCAATTCCTCCCAATTCTCGCCTAAGCGGAAATGTACCACACCCTGACGGAGCCAAGCCCCAGTTCACACAAGGCAGTGTGGAGTGGACAAGTCCAGATCAGTTGTGTGCGGAGGAAAGCATAGTCGTGCTCCCCAACACCTGTGATCCGCCATGGCGTCTGCCGTCATCCCTTGCTCTGCATCCACCATGACGTTCCTCGCTTCGCCGCGCCCTCCCATTCGCTTTTCACCTTCACCTTCTCCGCAGCTGACGCGAATCGCCGTGCGCTGCGCGTCCCAGCGCGAGGACGAACCCATGAGGCGGCGACACGTCAGCCGACGCGAGATGCTGTTTGTGTCTGCGCTGCCCGTAGCGCTAGCGGCAGCGGGGCCGATCGGCGCGGCCGTCGCAGCTGACGGCGACAAACCTGCGACCGTGGCGACAGCACCACCGCCCGGTGACATCCCTTTCGTTCAAGGCACGCCCGCCCGCCGCTCGCCTCGCTGCATGCGTCACTCCGTCCGTGTCGCTCCCCGACCCCACCATTGCCTGTTAATCTGCACGTGAATGCATGCCCTCTCTCCCCTATTCCCCTCCGCGTCGCCTCTCCCGTGTAAGTCCGCGTCCTCTCACATGCTCTCACATGCTCTCCATCGTGCCGTGCGCCTCCTGCGTCCTCCCCACCCTCCTGTATTCGTGCCCGTGTGTCGTGGCGTGGCATGATGCGCAGAGCTGCTGGAGAGGTCGCGGGCCAACAAGGCCAAGTACGACGAGGAGGTACCACCCCGCCTCCTTGCCTTGTCGCAATGCATCCCCTGCCAGCCGCCTGCACCCTCTCCCACGCCGCACTCACGGCCTGCTACACATGCCGCACCCATGGTGTCCCTTCCGCTTCCCGTACCGGCGTTTCTTTACACGCGGCATGCTGGCCGTGCCATGCCTATGCTGCCGCCGCGCCCTCCCACTGTGCCGCCATCGCGCTGCGTTGCGTTTCCCCTCTGACCGTACCGTGGTGCCATGGCATGTGCGCGTGTGTATGCAGCGGCTGAACGACTACTACCGGCGCAACTTCAAGGACTACTTCGACTTTGTTGGGGTGCGCTGCGGGCCCAGGGGGGCAGGGCGTGCGTGGGCGGGAGGGATGGGGGGAAGGAATGATGGGGGGAATGGAGTGATGGACTGTGGGAAGAATGGGCATATAGAGTGGGGGCGGGAGAGGGAGGGAGAGGGAGGGAGAGGAAGGGGATGGAAGGGGGAGGGAGCCAGGGAAGGGATGTGGTGGGAGGGAATGAGAGCCATGGTCATGCAGTGCGCTCATGCCCCATGCAGTGCGCTCATGCCCCATGCAGTGCGCTCATGCCCCATGCAGTGCGCTCATGCCCCATGCAGCGCGCTCATGCCCCATGCAGCGCGCTCATGCCCCATGCAGCGCCCTCATGCCCCATGCAGCACCCTCATGCCCCATGCAGCGCCCTGCCCATGGCACCAGTGGGGCGGCTGGTGCAGCAGGCATGCAAGCATGGACTGATTGCAAGGGGTTCACTTGCAATGGACCTCTGTGGCTTCTGCACCTCTGCTTGCTGCCTCGCTCCAATCCGTGCTGCACCACTCTGCACTCTCTCTTCCCCCTCTCTCTTGCCCTCTTTGTTACCTCACGTCCATACACATGCTATTCTCCCTGCCTTCCCATCCTCCTCTCCCCATGCCCCACCCATCGCCGTGCATCATGTGGGACACAGGGCACACTGCAGGTGAAGAGGGAGGACAAGCTGACGGACAACGAGAAGGAGATTCTCAAGTGGATTGAGGCCAACAAGTGACGGCCCGCTTGCCACCTGCCACCACGAAAGTGAAATGCGAGCGCTTGCCTCTAACCAGTGCTGCCTTGTCCAGCATGTTACTGAAGCTGCAAGTTTATCTATCGTGTGCATTCCTTGTGCCTAAATTCGGCGTACCGGTAGGTTTAAGTTATTTAATCCGATCCGAGGATAGTACTGTAATTAGTGAATTAGTGCAAAAATCTCTGTATGTATTGACATACAGCACTATCGTATGCTAACCATATTTGTTGGGATGCGCCAGAAACTACAACGGTACTGGTACACCATATTTGTCAGATGTTTCAGTCTTAGTGATGGGTGTCATATGGGGTACAACTGTTAGGGTTAGGTTTATGTACCCCAACCAACCTTAGAGCGTATTTCTATCCTCGTATCAAGAGAACCTCATACCGTATTCTCCCAGACATAACACCCTAGGGTATAGCTAAAAATACAGGGAAAAAATGGGGGGGGTCTCCTCATAGGAAAAAAATGCATAATACCCGGGTCTTTACATATGGCATATTTTAGTGTTAGTGTTTTTTTAATTAGTCAATGTGGGTGTTTTGCTGGTCCTTTTAGCATCACTGCCTGAGGCGCGAATGTGAGTTTCGGCCTCGAACTTCATCGCCCTCACGAAAATGCCATGTGGCACCTCTCTTGCCACTTGCAACGGAAGATTCACCTGCACGTGGCAACGGAGAAATAGTGGGAGGGGGCAAATCTCGGCAGATTGCCTTTGGATGTACCGCGAAATTTCATTGAGGGAGAAATTCACGCGATATTCTTCCGTATTGCAGCTACTCGTTAACGACTATAATAATGAATATGTAAGAAAAGGGGGGTGTTATAGAAAATCAGCCAAAAAGGGGGGTATAGTAGAAACGAGGTCTATCATAACACCCACCCCGCACAAGCTACCCGGGGGTGTACAATTATGGGGGGGTGTTTTGTCCGGGAGTATACGGTATCAACCTCCCACTGAAAATTCCCCTAAACCCAAAATCTCTCGCTAGTTTTACCAGGCAAGAAGTACAATCTTGATATGAGGTTCTCTTGATGCGAGGATAGGAATACGCTCTTAGTGAACATCACCATTTCGTTCTTGATATGCCTGTCATGCCAGTTCTTCTCGTACCCTAGCACCCGTTACGCCCTTATCGCCCCCTAGCGCCTCTCACGCCGGTTCGTCTTGTCAGAATATTATGCTCTAGCCTGTAGTGGGGTGCTCTATAACGAGTACAACCCTTCTAGGGTTTGCTATTTGTATCCTCATTCTTGCTAGTGCAACCCCCTTCTTTCTTTTAAACTTTAACATGCTATCAGAGCAGGTCGATCCCCTTGGATCGATCCTGTGGGTGGGCTCACCACCTCGTTGCTTCCGCTGCAACTTCCACTGCTACTGTCTGTGCCGCACGCCCCGTGGCGTGCGGCAGTTTTTCTTCCCGCCGTGCGCCCCGGGGCGCGCTGCGGTTTTCTGCCCGCCGTGCGCCCCGTGGCGCGCGGTGGTTCTCTGCCCGCTATGCGCCCCGAGGCGCGCGGCGGGCTTCTGCCCTGTCACTCGGCGCGTCGCCCTCGGGAGGCGCTGCGACGGGCGACAGGGACCCGCGCGTCGCCCCCCGTCGCCCGTCGTGGCCTGCGCGCGGCCCGTACAGGCTGCGCGCGGCCCGTAAGGGCTGCGCCAGGCCCGGACGCGGCCCGTACGGGCTGCGCCAGGCCAGCGCGCGGCCCGTACGGGCTGCGCCAGGCCCGCGCGCGGCTCAGGCCGCCTGCGCGCGGTTTGGGCGGCTGTGCCAGGCCCGTGGGCGGCCCTTTCCTCGCTGCCCCTGCCCTCCCCGCTGTCCCCCGTGCTTCTACTGGCGCCCCACCCCTCCTACAGCCCGTTCTCCTGAATTAGGGTTTGGGGGTGAGGGGTATGGGGGTGAAGCCACTGTGTGCCGTTCCCTGCTCCTCCTCCTCCTCCGTCTCCCTGTGCTGCAGCTGCCGCTGAGGGGGGGTGGACTTGTTGGAGCCGTTGGAGTGGTACTAAGGGGGAGTGAAGGGGGAGTGGAGCTAGCGGTGTAGCAGCGGGTGTGTGTCAGGGGGAGTGGGATAGTTTGGGGAGGTTGAAGGGGGTGGCCGCCGTGAAGCCAGCAGCTCCAGTCGCCCGTGAGACCATTGCGCCAGTCGCCCGTGAGCCCGTTGCGCCAGTCGCCCGTGAGCCCGTTGCTCCAGTCGCCCGTGAGTCCGTTGCTCGTCTGCCGCTACTTTTAGCCGCGGAGCCAGTTACTCTAGTAGCCCGTGTGCCAGTTGCTCCAGTTGCCAGTGTGCCAGTTGCTCCAGTTGCCCGTGTGCCAGTTGCTCCAGTTGCGCCGTGTGCCAGCAGCTTCAGCTGCCGCCCACTACCTCCTCTCCTCTCATAGTATCTTTCCTCCTCCTCACTTGCCCGTTGTGACTACCACTAGCTTTGCTCATAATTGTGAACTTTAAACTATTGCTTCTTGAACTTGTGCTCAGAATGTGTGGTGACATTGTGATCCACCCTCAGCTTGTACTGCTTTGCTTGCTCTGCTGATTACACCCCACTTTGGCTATGGGGGTGTGTCAGAATATTATGCTCTAGCCTGTAGTGGGGTGCTCTATAGCGAGTACAACCCTTCTAGGGTTTGCTATTTGTATCCTCATTCTTGCTAGTGCAACCCCCTTCTTTCTTTTTAACTTTAACACGTCTCGTTCCCTAGCTCCCGTTGCGCCTAGCCTACCGCGCCTGACGCCCGTAGCGCTCGCAGCGCCCGTAGCGCCTGAAGCGCTTGTAGCGCCCATCCCGTCGCGTCGCGTCCCGTCCCGTCCCGTCGTCCCGTCGTGTCGCGCTCGTCCCGTCCCGTCCCGTCGTCCCGTCGTGTCGCGCTCGTCCCGTCCCGTCCCGTCGTCCCGTCGCGTCGCGTTTGTCCCGTCCCGTCTAGCTCGTCGCGTCCGTCCCGTCTGTCCCGTCGCGTGCGCCGTCCCTGCCCGTCCCGCAGTGCCACGCCGCGCCCGTCCCGTTCTGCCTGTCGCGTGGGTCCCGTGTTGCCTGCCGCGCGGCGCCGAGCCGCGCGCGTCCCGTCCTGCCTGCCGCGTAGCGCCTCGTGGCGCCCTACCCTAGCGTCCTGCAGTGCCTTGAGCCTCGCCCACTGCCTGTCATGCCCTCCTTAGGCCCTTTATGCGTTTAGGGTTTCGGCAGCAGCAGTTCCGACCTCTCTTCACTTCCGCTATGGCGACCCCTAGGGTCCTGCGCTTTGATGCCGAGGGTAGGCCACTCGAGTTCTCGGTCTGGCTCCAGCGTGTGCGCCGCCTCCTAGAGAGTCAGGTTCAGGCAGCCGAGTCTTTGTGGGCGCACACTTCCGGTGACCTTCCTGCGCCCCCCGCCCCTGCACCCTTAGGCGCTGGCGCTAGCACTGCAGACAGAGACCATTATGCACGCCAGCGTGCCGACTTGACAGGATGGAAGTCGCGTGACGCTGCGGCCTGCATCGCCCTTAGCAGCCTCCTCCCTGAGTCTGAGGAGGTCCACTTTACTCATGTTCCCACTGCTAGTGAGTTCCTGACTGCGATCAAGGCCCGCTACGCTACTCCCACCACTATCTCTCTTGGTCGACTTTTCCTCCCGTTCCTGTTTCCTGACCTCGCCTCGTTTGAGCACTCTGCTGACTTGATCGCTCACCTGCGCTCGCTAGATTCAAGCTACCGCGCTGCCTGCACTGACGCGCAACTTGCACTGCTCCCTCCCCTTATGGCGATTTCGATCTATTTCATCGCCATTAGTCTCCCTGACCACCTTGCCTCGGTTCGTGACGCGCTTCTTCTGAAGCACCCTAGCGAGCTCACTATCGAGGTCCTTGAGTTTGCCCTCAAGGACGTCGAGAGAAACCTCCGCTCGGTAGCCTCCGCCTCTGGTGCTGTGCCCCCTCCACTGTTTCGCGGGTGCACTGTCCCTCAGCTGGCCACCTTTACTACCTAACTCGCCACTGCTGCTACTGACGTGACCGCAGCTGCTGTTACGACTTCTTCGCGGTCTAGGGGTAGGAGTGGCAGGAGGGGCGGTCAGGGTGCAGGCGGAGGCGGCGGAGGCAGGGGAGGTGGCGTGGCGAGCGGCGGTGGCGGTAGTACAGAGGCTAGAGGAGCGCCTCGTGCAGCGGCTAGTGGCTCCTCTAATGCAGCTGGTGGAGGTGACGCTCGGGTTCGTCAGGCACCTGCTGGTCTGCCAGCTGCAGGTGCTGGGGTGGCGGCTAGGTACCTGACTGAGCAGCAGCAGCAGCAGCAGTAGCAGCAGCAACGGCAGCTGTAGGCTCCGGGGCAGGGGTCAGGACCGCATCAGCTGTCGTGTGGCGCCGTCCACCCTCCCTGCACCTACCTCGTTCAAACAGGTGCTCGCCGAGGCCTCCCCTGTGGCCGCACCCACCCACCGGGTCAGTGCTTTGCTCAGCTCACTGACACACTTCGTGCGGCCTACGGCATTGACGGCCCTGCCCCTGATTGGCTTCCCCTTGTTCAGCTGTACGGCCCCGATCTGTGGGGCATGTCGGCTTCTCAGTTGCTTGATCTCTTAGGAACTCCTCATGCTATGTATACTGTTTTTGATTCTAGTGCTTCTGACTCTGTTTTCTCGAGTGTTGTTAGCTTAGGTGCTAGTGTTGCTGGGGTGCCTGTGGCTAGCGTAGGTACTTGTGTAGACACTAGTCCAGGAGCTGCTCCGGAGGACACTTCGCTGTCTTTCACTGTGGACTCAGGAGCTTCGCAAAGTTTCTTGCGCGACCACACGACGCTTACTCCGCTTCCTGCGCCAGTCTCTGTGGCAGTGGCTGATCCCACTTCGGGACCAGTCACTGCTCGCTACACTACTACGCTTCCGTGCCCGGCTGTTCCCTCCGGTTCTCTGACCGGCTTCCACGTCCCCTCGTTCTCAAGGAACTTGGTGGGCGTGAGGCCGCTCGTGAGTCAGCACGTGGGTGTGTGGTTTGTGTCGACGGGGACACGTACGCGCCTCTGGCCACCTTTACCGCTGAGTCGGGCTCTGGTCTCTACACACTTCACACTGGCCCTTGGCAGCAGCAGCAGCCGCAGCAGCAGCAGCAGCTACTGCCCCCGACCACTGTCACTACCCCCCGTGAGGTCCCCCCCTCTCACCAGGTTGCCGCTTCTCACCAGGTAGCTATGTCTGGTCAGGTTCCCGTTTCTGGTCCAGTTGCTGCGTCTTGCTCCTGCCGGTCACTTGCCCACCCCACCGTTCTGTGGCACCACCGGATGGGGCACCCGTCCATTCCTCGCCTGCGCACTATGTCTAGTCAGCGTCTTGTCTTAGGCCTCCCGCGAGTCTTGCCGTCGCTGCCGCCTTCGCTTGCACCACCTTGCAGTCCCTGCGTCGAGGGTCGGCTGCGCGCCAACCCTCACTCCTCCTCCCTTCGCCCAGCCACCGAGCCCTTTGAGACTCTCCACTTGGACGTCTGGGGCCCCGCCCCTCGCCCTGGCCCTGAGCAAGAGAGTTTTTTTCTGTTGGTCATAGACGACTACTCTCGCTACACCATAGTGTTCCCCCTGGCGAAGAAGTCTGAGGTGACTTCTACGCTGATCCGGTTGTTACTTACCACTGCGGACACTCGTGGTCGTCGTGTCAGCTGTCTTCACTCCGACCGTGGGAGTGAGTTTCGCCGGATTCTATCACGAGAAGGGCATCCGTCAGTCCTGGACGCTTCCAGAGTCCCCACAGCAGAATGGGGTTGTTGAGCGCCGCATAGGCTTGGTCATGGAGATTGCACGCACCTCCATGATTCACGTCCGTGCGCCCCATTTTCTGTGGCCCAACGCGGTTCGGCACGCTGCTCACCAGTTGAACCTCTGGCCACGTGTCTCTCGGCCATAGGCTTCACCGACCAGTCTTTGGACCGGGTCCTCTGGTGTTGCGTCGCGTTTTCGTGTCTGGGGCTGCTTGGCACTTGTTCGGGACACCTCCGCGGATAAGCTCTCCCCTCGCGCCCTTCCTTGTGTCTTCCTTGGTTTCCCCGAGGACTCCTCTGGCTTCACCTTTTACCACCTGACAGGGTTGCTTTGGCTGACGTGAAGCGCGAACCGTAGAAGAGACACACGTGCACTGACCTTGGTGAGCTGCGCCACTACCTTGGCCTGCAGATCACCAGGGACAGAGCCGCTCGCACCATTACACTCTCATAGTCACACATGGTGCAGCAGGCCCTTCAGCGGTTCGAGCTTCAGCACTCCACAGTACAGCGCACACCTCTTGCTGTTGACCACAGACTCACTGGACCCTTTCCTGACGAGCCGTTTGAGCCTAGTAGTCCCTACATTGAGCTTGTGGGCTGCCTCATGTACCTGATGACTTGTACTCGCTCGGACCTCGCCTTCCCTCTCACCATCCTTGTTCGCTTCGTTGCGCCAGGGAGACACGTCCAGTTTACTGGACAGCTACTGTGAGGGTGGCGAAGTACCTAGCGACGACATCAGGCGTGGGGCTGGTTCTTGGAGGGAGACAGTCTGTCGTGCTTACTGGACACTGTGACTCTTCTTACGCTGAAGACGCTGGGTACTGCTTCAACCTAGGCTCTGGAGCTGTTTTGTGGAGGTCCACGCGTTCCTCTTCTGTCTCAACCTGTACCGCTGAGGTTGAGATCTATGATGGAGCCATGTCTGCACTGGAGTTGCGTTGATTGACCTTCTTGCTCACCGACCTTGGTGAGCGGCCGAGCTCTGCACCGACCTTGTTCACTGACAACAAGGCGTCGATTCTCCCCTGTCGAGAGCCGCGACTGGAGAGCAAAGTGAAGCATATAAACGTCAGGTACTTTCTTCTGCGAGAGGTGCAGAGGCGCGGGCAGGCTCGCTTCAACTTTATGGAGTCCGAGACCAACACTGTAGACATCTTCACTAAGTCCCTTCCGCCTTGTGACCACCAAAGGTGTTGTCTGCAGTTATGTCTCGTTGTCACAGGTTCTCGCCTTGCGCAGTCTTGAGTTCTCTGTTTGCTTTGTTTGTACGCTTTATATATACCTCTGTGAACTCTTGAACTGGCCTTGTGGCTCTTTTGCTTATGCTCAGAGTGCTTGTTGTCATTGTGATTCACCCCGAGCTTTGTTGCTTTGTGACTGGTCGTGTGACCGTACGTTGTTTGTTTGCTTGACACCCCTCACTTAGGCTGTGGGGGTGTGTCAGATGTTATAGTCTTAGTGATGTGTGTCATATGGGGGACAACAGTTATGGTTAGGACGCGACACCTCTAGGGAGGAAGCCACGATCGATCCTGAGTGGGGATCGATCCTGCCTTGTACAGTGAAATCGCGACATCGCCCATAGGCTGGTATCCGTCTTCGCCCCACCTCGCAAATGTACAGTAAATTGGTGCCCAAAATGGTGGCACCTCTGGCTCGCACGATCGATGTGCCAACGCTCACACATCGATCGTGAAATTGTGGAGATCGGGCATTTTTGCCCCATGTATTTTCGATCCTGTCACCTGTGGCTCGGTGTGTCCAGGCGATTGCAAATCTGCAGTGTGGACACATCGGTATGCGGATCGATGTGCCTAAACCGGCGTGAGGACCCGATCCCCCACCGATCCTGACAATTTCCCTAGAGGTGCCGCGTCCTTAGGTTTATGTACCCCAACCAACCTTAGTGAACATCACCATTCCGTTCTTGACAATACCGTATGCCTCAAATCCTACATGGTTGAGCCTACAGCAGCTGTGCCCGGATGAGAATGAATCATCAAGAACTCATGAAGGAGCATGGCATGGCAATGATCCACCATTAGAGACTCCTAGTCTGTCAATAACCTTTCTAACCTGGACACAACCCACTAAACTGTGTAGTAACTACACTGGGGGCATTTGTCACAAAAATTATGGCGCATCAAAGGAAACAATTCCACATCTACAGGAGGTGGTGAAGAATGTCTCGTTCATGTGTGTGAAACGTTCATGGGGCAAGTACTTCAACTTCAAAAGACGCCCTTTGCCATTGTGGTGCACAAGCAGCAGCAGGCAGCGGTGGCAGGGAGGTGGTGAGATCAGAGGTAGAGCTGGATGAGCTCGTCACTGACAGCAGCGGGGGTGAGCACGCCCAGGTCCGTGAACAGCAGTGTCAGCACATGCGGCGGCGCATACTCCCTCTTCGGCCCCACCGGCGCTGCTTCTGCCCCCACCACGCCTGCTGCTCGCGCTGAGTCAGCAGCAGCAGGGAGGGAGGTTGGCGGGCGAGTGAGGGAGGGCGGTGCGCTGATGCCCTGCTCCCAGTCGTTCTGATCCAATGGAAACATGCGCGCGAACTGGCCTCAACAGGTGGGGGGGTGTGGAGAAGACAGGTGAGGGACACGAGGGAGGAGATGAGGGCAGAGAGAGGAGAGTTGAAGGCAGCATAAAAGACGAATTCCCTCTTTGCCTTGTTCCCTAACCCCACTCACACGGCCCTTACCTGCTCTTTCTGCGCCCATCACACCAATCCCTGTTTCCAATCAATCCACGGCATTCAACCAGGGGCCTCCAGACATTTCAACAGCTGTTGTAAACCTCTCCTCCCCTCCCCTTCCTTCCCTATTCATCCCTCTCTTACTCCCTTCCTTCCGTAGTCCCTCCCTCTCTCCCCTCTCTCCCCTCCCTGCCCTCCCTCCCCTCCCTCCCCTCCCTCCCTTCCCCCCTCCCCTCCCTCCCTTCCCCCCTCCCCTCCCTCCCCTCCCTCCCTTCCCTCACCCCCTTCCCCGCCCTCCCCTCCCCTCTCTCCTCTCGTTTACCCCTCTCCCTCTGCCTTGCTGTCCTGGTCCACGTGTTCAATCCCTTTCCCACGGCCCACCACAACGCCACAGCACCTCTGCAGGCCATGCGCCCTCTGCCCACCCCCTGCACGGGCAAACCCCCTCCCCTCCCTACAGGGCGGGTGGGGCAGCAGAGCACGCACCTTGTAGCTCTCAGCGGCCACATAGAAGGGCTTGCCCATGGCCTTGGCCACCATGGCCAGGGGGAACACGCCCACCGCCGACAGCACTCCACCACTCTCCACCACGCCCTCCGCACCGCACAGCACCATGTCGCACCGCTCCACCGCCACGCCCATGGCCGCGTCCACCACCACTGTCACCGGCACCCCGCCGCGCTGCAGCTGTGCTGCCATGCGCTGCCCCGCTGCATCCATGCGGCCCTCTGGGAGGGGGTGGTTGGAGCGGATTCATGGATGGCACAGGTCGGTGGTCAGATGGAATGACCAAGGAGCTTATAGGTACTCTCGTTTCCACTTGAACGAGGTGCAGGTAAGATGGGCAAGTGAGGACATTACTGTGTGGCAAGAGTTGACATTAGAAGCAGTGGTGATTTTCATGTGCGGATCTTGTAATGACAACCACACCACACATATCACTTCAGGTTGGAGAGGAGGGAGCGAGGGGGAGAAGGAGGAGGAAAAGGTGGGGTAAGGGGACCGGAGAGGAAGAAGTGGAAATCAGGGTTTCCACTTGTGGTGTGCAAGTGTGTAAGTGCACCTTGTGCGGTTACATGTGTGAACGTGCATGGACGTGGGGAGAGGGCGTGCGTGAGGAGGGGGAAGAGGAGGAAAGAGGGGGAGAGCGCGTGCGTGTGTGTGTGTGATTAGGTGTGTGGGCGTGTGGGTGAGGGTTCAAGTGTGTGTGTGGGGGGGGGGGTGTGCATGTGTGCGCGGGTGTGTAGAGTGTGTGGGCGCGTTTGTCTTTGGGTGGGTTGCGGGTATGTGTGTGTGTGGGTGGGTCTGTGGGTATGTGTGTGTGGGGTGGTTGGTTGGTTGAGGTGGTTTGGGTGCGTGTGCACATGAGGGCAGCACAGCATCGCAACCAGGCAGCGCACCGGTGGCGATGACGGAGAAGAACTTGCCGCGAGCAGCTGCCTCGGACAGCAGAGCCAGCACCACCTGCCAGGGAGCACCAGCAGGGGAGCGGCATGTGCGTGCTGCCATTTGCTTCTCTACCGATTGGTTCCACTTGAGATTGTAATGAAAAGCAGGGTTGGCACGGGGACGAGCAAGCAAGCAAGGAGCCATGCATGAGGGTGTGCACGCATGACAGTGCGTGGGTGGCACTGCCGTCCGCCATGCTATGTGCTGCACGTGCCACATGCAGCCCCAGGGGAGGGGAGGGGAGGGGACGGGAGGGGACGGGAGGGGAGGGGAGGGGAGGGGAGGGGAGGGGAGGGGAGGGGAGGGGAGGGGAGGGGAGGGGAGGGGAAAGCGGGCGGGGCACCTGGGAGAAGCCGTGAGTGAGGATGACGCAGCCGTCCGTGATGAACTCCTGCCCCAGCATCGCTATCGTGCGCCGCGCCTGTTGTCATGGTGCCACTCAACAGGAGGAGGCGGGGGTACAGATAGGGCGTGGGGGACGCGTGAACACACGAGGAAGAGTGCAAATGTGGGAGGCAAGCCGGTGAGAGGTAAGGCAGCAAGCAAGCAGCAAGAAATGAGCTGGAGAAGCAGAGGGTGGGGAGATGAAGACAGGTAGGAAAGAAAAGGAGGAGCACAGGAGGAGGGCGCAAGGAGGGGCGGTGGGAGAGGGGTGGGCGGGCATGCAAGGAGCGGAGCGCACGTTGAGGGAGATGCCGCTGAAGCGCTGCCCGCGCTCGATGAGGCGCGCCCTGGCGGCGGGCAGGTCGTCCGCCTCCACGGACGTGCGGCTCACGAAGCACAGGAAGATGTCGCACGCCGCGCGGAGCGATATGCACCCGCTGCTCTCGCGCTGCCATCGGGGCCACGCGTAGTGGGGAGGGCACAGAGGCACGGCGTGGATGATGAGCGTGGGGACAAACAGGCATGCACACAAGGCGTGAGCCCCGGAGCCTCGCCTGGCTGCTCTTCTCACTCCCCTTAACCATCCCTTCCCTGCGTATTTCCCTTTACCGCCATGCATCCCGTGCGGCCATCCCCGCGTTACCCCCATGCGCCATGACTCGCGCGCGGCGCACCTTGAGGTCGTCGCACGCGCGGCGCAGCTCCACCTCGAGGCCCATCACCGTCGTCGCCTCGCTGCGCTCGATCACGGCCGTCAGCGCCTTCACGGCCGCCACCGCCACGGCCGTCGTCGGGTCGTCCTTGCGCCACCGCCCGAACTCCTTCAGCACGCTCCACTCCCCCCCGCTGCCGCTGCCTCCGCTAGTCAGCCCCGGCGCTGCCGCGTCGTGCGCGTGCGCGCTGTGCGTCGCGCCGTGTGTCCCCGCGGAATGCAGCGCCATCGCCGCTGGAGCTGCCATCTCGCCCGCGCCCCTCGGCGCCACCACCTCCCTGCCGGTCGCCGCCGCCGCCTCCGCCTGCGCCGCCGTAAACCCTAATCCCCGCGCTACGCCCGTCGGCACACCCCACCCGTGCTTCACCACCCAGAAATCCTGCGACTCCGCCGAAAACCCGCCCACTCCGCCTTGACTCGCGTGACCCGCCCCCCCGCCCCCGCCCGTCCCTCCCTCCGCGACCTCTGCGTTTACTCCTGCTTCCGCCGCGCCTGCGCCTGCAGGCTCGCTTCCCGCACCGAAAGCTGCCGAATCGGCGGTGGCGGGGGCAGCGGCGCGGAGCGCGGAGGAGAGATTGGAGACCCGCGCAGGGCGCGCGGGATGCGAGCGGGCTGGCGGGAGAGACGCGGAGGGGTCGTGGTGCATGGGGTGATGGGCGATGCGCGCCGCGCAGCGCTAACGGGCGCTGGCGCACGGGAAGACTGGGGTGAGGCACTGCGGGAGGGGGGGAGGGGGGGGGGAGAGGGGGAGACGAGCTGCTGCGGAAGAATGAGGGATTCGTGGCGGCTGGCGCGCGAGGGACCTGTGCTGAGCAATACGATGGAGCATTGTCTTGGACTGGCATAACAGGAGGTGAGAAAGACGCTAGCATCCACCAGTAACGCCTGCCGTCATCGCCCAGATATGACATACTTATCTCATACACTAAAAAAAATCTGGGTTGTCTTTGTATTTGGGGAGGTTTTGGGTGTTATAAATGGAAACTTTTATAAACTACTATTTTTTTAACACATCTTGAAAAGAGTTTCTCATTATAAGAGAGGATCTTGCGAAGATTGTCAGAATCCCAACCACTAGACCATTGGGATAAAAGGGCTTGTTTCAGTAGCGGGTCAGTGCGCCAATAACCCCCAGGCAAACGCGCCTGTAACCCTCTCCAGGATCGATCGGGCATCCACAGTGCAGATCTACTGACACCCCCCCACACTGGGAGGCCCAGGACTAAGCACAGCGGCACCGGCCTACATGTGCATACACCGGGAATCGAACCCGAGACCGCTCTGATACCATGTCAGAATCCCATTCACTAGACCATTGGGATAGAAGGGCTTGTTTCAGTAGCGGGTCAGAGTGCGCCCATAACCCCCCAGGCGAACGCGCCTGTAACCCTCTCCGGGATCGATCGGGCATCCACAGTGCATATCTACTGACAAAGGTGCCACCTCGACAACCACAGTTCGGGACGCCACGTCATGGAGAATACTTGCAGAGGCGAATTTGGTAGTACGCGAGTCAATACGTCGCAGAATTCGCGTGTTGCAAGGGTAAAAATGTTTGCGGTATTTCAAATTTCACTATAATATATTGCAGTTTCGATTAGAAGACACAATATGCCTTGTTAGGGTGAGGATCTTGGACATGATAGGGAGTGCTTTGGTAGAGTTGGTAGCGGAAGTCTTGTAAGAACTCAGATTATCGTGAATGTAAATGACCAAGTTGATTAAAAGATAGAATACAAGGAATATAAATAGTCCTAGTCTAGCCATGTAGGTACTCTAAGGGGTACATTCCCTTATTTTAACTGTTTTACAGGCATTTCTACAATGACTCTGACTGTTGTACTGCCTTTCTTGTTACCGAGTCGCTGCATGTAACCTGTACGGTTACGCCTGTTGCCATTCCTTGATGGTAAGTCAAGCGTCGGTCCAGATGGTCAACAGTCGCGACAGTTGACTCTTGCGAATGTTGACCTTCCTGCCCTTGTTACGCGCTGATCCGATACTGCGGTAGTTACTGCTTCGACAGAGTCAGGTGCGATACTACTGCACCTACGGGAATGCCAAGTACAATTTTCTTCACACTCCAACACTCCCCTTCATTCCTGGAGGTGCGCCACGTGGCTTTTGCGAGTGACTCTGCACAGGTCCGAGCAGTACTGGAACTTCTGACGTGGCAGTTTCTTCGTGAGGAAATCGGCTGCCATTTCGCCAGCTGGACAGTAGATGAGCCGGACCTTCCCTTTGTCGATTTCGTCCTTCACGAAGAAGTAATGTAGGGCGATGTGTTTCGTGCGGTTGACGAAGCCTGGCTTGTTGGCGATTTTGATCGTGCTGTGGTTGTCGCAGAGTAACTTAAAGGACCCGTTCATCGCCGTCTTCGTTTCCTGTAGGAGTTCCGTAAGATAGAGTCCTTCGCGAACTGCTGCGCTTGCTGCGATGAATTCTGCTTCTGCTGACGAGAGGGCGATGAGTTCTTGTTTGTTGGAGTTCCAGGAGATGGTTCCTGCAGGCTCGAGTTTGAAAATGAAGCCTGTGCGGGACCTCCTGTTGTCTACGTCCCCTGCGTGGTCAGCATCCACGTAGCCGGTGAGTTGTAGTGGCGCTGTTAAGTTGGCCTTGTAGGTAAGGCCAACATCAGGCGTAGAGATGAAATACTGTAAGGCGCGGCGCAGGTCTGCTAGGTTCTCCCCTTCAGGTCGGCGCAGGTACTGGGCGAGCTGGCTAGCGATGTAGGATAAATCCGGGCGGCATGTGACGGCGGCAAACAGTAGGCATCCGAGCTGCTGCTGATAGAGACGGTGATCAGCTGGTGAGAGCGGAGTAGTGTCGGGCTCGTGGTTAGGCGGAGGAATGCGAAATGGGGTGGTGACGCCGACGAGAGCTATCCTGAATTTCTTAGCAAGGGTCTCAGCGTACTTTGTGGTGGAGAGATGAATGGTGTCCGCGGTCTGAGTGATGTTGAGGCCGAGGAATAGAGTAACCTCGTGGTTGATCGTGACCTCCAGCTTTTCTTGAATTTCGCGTTCGAAGCGGTTGAGCAGGTCGTTGTCGTCGCCGGTGTAGAGAAGATCGTCGACGTAGGCGACGAGCAGGATGAAGTGGCCGCGGGATTCGAGGCGGTGCATCCCCTGATCGTGGGGAAGCTGCTGGAAACCGAGCTCGATGAGGACGCCGTGAAGATGCTGCTGCCACAGGCGAGGTGCCTGCTTGATTCCGTACGGGGACTTTTGCAGGAGACAAACTGCGTCGCCGTCTTCTTCGAACGCGTGTGGCTGCTCGACATAGATGATAGCGTCGAGGATCGCGTAGAGGAACGCATTGGAGACGTCGATCTTGCGAAGCGGGCGCTGTTTCACAGCGGCGATGCAGAGAAGAATGCGTACTGAGGTATGACGACCGACAGGTGCGAAGGTCTGGTTGTAGTCAACGAATTGTGTCTGCTCGAATCCGCGAACCACCCAGCGGGCTTTATTTTTTTCCACTGTTCCGTCCGCGAGGGTCTTGATGCGGAAGACCCACTTCCATGTAAGGATCTTCCTCCCCTTTGCGTGGCGCTGTGGTACCAGGTTCCAGGTTCCGCGACGTTGCAGTGCAGCGACTTCCGCGGCCATGGCGGCTCTCCACTTCTCGGCATCGGGCCCGTTGAGAGCCTGGCGAACGGTGGTGGGCTCGACCAGCTGCTGGTTACCTCGCACGGCGACAGCGAGGCCGAGGATGCGAAGGCCCGTGAGGTTGGATTCGGCTGTGGTGGTAACGTCGACCACGTCGTCGTCGTCACCAGGGATGTCGTGAAGGGTGTCCCGAGATGAGTCACGAGCTGAGTCTTCGTTCATGGGTGAGAGCATTTCTGCACTTGCGTAATCGTGTTGTGCGTGTACTGCTTCGTGGGGATTGGTGTCTGTTGGGAAGAATGTGGGAGTGCCGAACTGCTCCGTAACGGGGATGAAGGGTGCTTCGTCTGCTGCTGCCTCGTCTGGCTGTTCTCCTGCCACGTCAACGTCGTCCTCGTTATTGGCGTAGCTGTGCTGTCCCTGGAAAATGTTGTCCGGTCCGTTCTGTGCAGTGCGGTGCTGGCGGTACAGTGGCAGGGTCAGTCTTTCGTAGAAGATGCAGTCACGTGAACGCGTGAGCTGGTGGGTGGCGAAGTCCAGAATTGTCCAGGCGTGGTATTCGGATTCGATTCCGGTTCGGGCAGTGTGAGGGCGGTACTATACCATACACCCGAAGACTCGCATCATGCGTGTATCGGGGTGTTTTCCGGTCCACTCCTTGAAAGGTGAGCTGTTGTTGGGCAGTGCTTTCGAGGAGAGCATGTTGTGCAGCCGAACTGCATGCGCCATGGCGAAGGGCCAATACTTGGTTGGCACAGCCGACTACTTCATGAGGGCTCGCATTTTTGTCGCGAGGCTCCTGTTGGTTCTTTCCGCCAATCCTTGCTGCTCGTGGGCGTAGGGCAAGGAGACCATCCTCTTGATCCCTCTCTGCTTGCATAGGGTTTTGAAGTCGTCCGACATGTACTCCAGAGGTCCGTCTGTCTAGAACGCTTTCAATTTGTGGCCGTCACTTTGGTTTCCCGCCATGGCGAGCCAAACTTCGAAGCAGTACTAGGCGAGGTAGCGGTCCTTGACGTTCACGGCCCAGACGAAGCGTGTGCCGGCGTCAATAAAGGTGAGGGTGTACTGCTCCCCTCCAACTCCTTTCGCCGTGAGAACCAGGAAATCGCTGTAGACTTTCTCCAGTGGTTTGTATCGTTCGGCTCCCGGAATCTTTTTGGCAAAGGGCGTGTGGCGAAGTGCGGCTGCCGGACAGACGGTGCAATTAGGTAGATCGGTTCGTGGTTTCAGCAGCTTTCCATCGGGCAGCAACAGTGCGTCTGCCGCAAAAACATTTGCGTTGATGCAGTTGTTGAGCACTTCGATTGATGGGTGTCCCATGCGTTGATGCCAGATGTCTCCGTCAGCCCGATATCCCTTGGTGCGCGTGTACAGCTCCTTTTCTCGTGCTAATATCTCCTCCGCTGTTTCTTGCCTTGTTGCGTCCGCAGGTTCATTGGGCACGGTGACTTGGACTGCCGCTGCTTGAATTGTCACGCCATGATACGTTCCGCTGGTGTCATCGATATTAACAGTGTCCATTGTTACCGGCAGCTCCGGTGGTTCCTCTGAACGCGCAGGCGAGGTTCGTGCGCAACGATCTTCGAGCTGCGTGATTACTTCTCCCTCGAAGTTGGTATCGCCGATCGCCACTCCCCTTGTCTCGAGGCAAAGGTAGTCCCTGCCGTCTGTCGTGATGGGAAGTAGGTGAGGTCCGTACTCTGTTAGTAATTCTTCCTCCTCTGCTTCTGGTGCTTCTTCAGTAATTTCTGGTTCTTCTGCTGCTTCTTCTGCAGGTGCGTCGGCGATGCTTCCCCATCTGGTTTCAGCTGCGACGGCTTCCCCCAGTGCGGTGCTCTCCATGACCCAGCGTACATTGGCTGCGTCCCATCCTTCAGTTGTGTTCCAGCCCGCGGGGCGCTCGACAGGTGGCCAGAAGGTTTGCGTGCTTGTCGGCTCGGTTGTTTCGACTGCCGTTCCTGAAATGATCTCCTCTCCTTCTTCCACTACTTGTGGTCCGGTTTCGGCAGGGTTTGTTGTCGAGGCGACGGGT